TGACCCTTATGACTGGTTTTGTGGTCCAGGGTAACTAATACTACACAGGTGAAAGCGCTGCTTACTTCTCCAGGTAGACTGAGGACAGGTTGTAGGTTTGGTCCATCTTCTGCAGGGTGATGTCCAGCTCTGAGCGCAGGACTGGAGTGCTGGACTGCTCCGGCGAGGACAGCACCTCCTCAGCTTTCTGAGACACTCGGTCCAGGTTCTTCTTAATTCCTTCCAGCTCCATTTGCACTTTCTGTTTGAGTCAGAGACAAAAACACAATGATTAATTTGGTTAAATATGACAAAGAACATGGTCTGAGTCATAATTCACATAATAATCAAAAGAAAAAAATTTGAAATTATATTCAGGGTACAGTTAATTAAAACTCAGAACCATTCAAAATAAAATTGTTGCTTGAAATACAATAAACGTTAACTGATAAAATTAAATATATAAAAAAAAATGTTTCCCTTATTTTCAAGCAACATCTTTCCCTTTTTTGTTTAACTTGATGTACAAAAATAACTAAAACTGAAATAAAAATGTCTAAAATCTCTCTCTCTATACAGTGACAAAAACACAACAAAATTACTACAATTTTAACTATAATTAAAATGAAAATTGAAAAATAAAATTGTTGCTTGAAATACAATAAACGTTAACTGATAAAATTAAAAATATATAAAAAAATGTTTCCCTTATTTTCAAGCAACATCTTTCATTTTTTTGTTTAACTTGATGTACAAAAATAACTAAAACTGAAATAAAAATGTCTAAAATCTCTCTCTCTATACAGTGACAAAAACACAGCAAAATTACTACAATTTTAACTATAATTAAAATGAAAATTGAAAAGTAAAAATTGATTCAAAATATTAATACAAACTATAATAGTATTTCAAAAACACTAAAATAACACTGATTATATCTTGGATATTTTTCAGATTTTTTTTTTACATTATTTTCAGGACAATTAAGCACAAATTTTAATACCATGATGGGTTAAAATCTCACCACTCAGATTCATTTATATCTCAAATTGTTTTAGTATTAGTTTTTCTGTCTTTAATTTAGTTTGTAATACAGTAATAAGCATTTAACGATACAATAAATCATAATGAGAAACATAAAATAAGGAAATTGATCCATTACAATAAAAAGAACATCTCAGGGAAATGTGCTTAAATGTCACAAAAATAAAATCACAAAGCAAAAAGTCATAATGGTCATAAATTGCGATTTTGGACATGTTTGTTGAAATTCACCCATTTATGAGTCACAAATATGATTTGAATTTGTATACACATACTTCAGTTGCAAAAGAGTTTTAACTGGATCAAATATAAAGAACAAGAGCTTTGTGTCGTACTCTCTGATCAGCAGTCTTCTGCATGCAGTCTCTGAGCGGATCTTTATCCACTGGTCGCCGGATACGGGCCACCGTACGAGACTCACAGTCTTCGATCTGCAGGCGCAGGTTTTTGATTTGGGTGATGTACGACTTGCATATGGATTCATCCTGCTCGCCTGCGAAGAGAAAAGATTTGTTATCACGGTTTTCTGTCAACACTAAAGGCAAACAACAGTTTATCTCTTCATTTATCAGTCTGCTGCAGCCAACATTCATGACACTTAGTCACATCACACACATTCCATCTGTGTTAGTGGCTCAGATTTCATCCCAAAATCAAAAGAAAAAGAAAAAAATTAATTAGATGTGCATTAAGAAAATGAAGCATATTTTGAGAACTCTTACAGCTCATACCAGTAAAATATGTTTTACTGCATGAATTTTTTGTATTTAAATAAAATAAAGTACAACAAGCACTACCATGATGCAAAATACTATACATATATATATATATATATATATATACACTGTATATATAGACAGACA